GCGGGTAGGCCCCCCTCCCCCCGTGGCCAGGTGTGTGAACAGTCAGAGTGGCGGGTAGGCCCTCCTCCTCCCCCGTGGCCAGGTGTGTGAACAGTCAGAGTGGCGGGTAGGCCCTCCTCCCCCCGTGGCCGGGTGTGTGAACAGTCAGAGTGGCGGGTAGGCCCTCCTCCCCCGTGGCTGGGTATCTGAACACTGCTAGGCCTAAAGTAAAAGACAGGTGCATTTCATAGTGAGCAGTTATTTCATTCATACATCAGGTTGTGCGTGTCAGCTTCCTATTGCTGCAACAGTTGCCCGAACACCCACTTAAACAGAGGAAAGGCCCGTGCTGGTGCTCCGTGTGGGGGGAGCCATGGTGGTCAGCTAGCCCTGTTGCCTCTCGCCCGTGGGGAGCAAGGGTGGAGTGAACTGCTCGCTGCGGATGGCCGGGGCAGAGGGAGGCCGGGGCAGAGGGAGGCCGGGGCGGAGGGAGGCCGGGGCGGAGGGAGGCAGTGCTTTGTGACCCTGCAGCACGTCTCCTCTGACCTAACTGCAACTACACCTTCAGGAGCTAGACGTGGACACCATCTTTTTGGCTGGGGGTGTGCTGGGAAGAATTTAGGGTCACCGGCCGGTGTGTTCAGGGCCTGTGCGGTCCAGCCTCATCTGGGCCCGAGGCACGAATCGGAGCTCCTGCTGTGTGCGGTCCTGGCGAGGGACCCTGAGATCCAGGGGTTGTCAGAGCATGCCTGCCGCACCCTACAGAGGGCTCACTCTCCAGGCTGCCTCCCGAGGCCCTGGGGGGCTGCTCAGGGCTGGCAGCCTCCCAGGGTGCCGTGGTTGGCCTGTGTCTGATTCTCCACCAGCTCCACGTCCAGGCTATCTCCTCTCTTTTTTTGGGGGGGGGTCCGGTCGTGGGGCCTAACTCTGGGCGTGGGGCCTAACTCTGGGCCTGGGCGCTGTCCCTCAGCTCTTCAGCTCAAGGCTAGCGCTCTACCACTTGGGCCACAGCGCCACTTCAGGCTTTTTTTCCTTACTTATGTGGTGCTGAGGAATCGAACCCAGGGCCTCAGGCATGCAAGGCAAGCGCTCTACCACTGAGCCACCTTCCCAGCCCCCATCTCCTCTCTTAAGAGGGGCCAGCCCCTTTGCGCAGAAGCCTTAGGGTCCCCAGGAACACAGCCCTTCCTAGTGAGTACTGAGGCCCTGGCATGAGTCTGAACGTGCACGCATGTGCCAAACCGGCCGTCTGTCTGTCCTGCCATTCCTCCTCCTTACACTTGAGCCTGTGCAACCCCGTTGGCAGAGTCTGGGCTCTGCCTGCTTCTCTTCTCTTTCCAGTCCCTGTCCAGGCTGGCTAGAGAGAGGAACCCATCCTCAGACTCACCGCTCTCAATTCCCAGGACACGGCCCTTCCTGCATTTTCAGGGCTTTCTGATGGGAAACAGATGGGGTAGCAAGGCAATGAAAACGTGTGAATCATCTGAAAACGTATTTCAGAGTCTTGCCAGCCACACCCCCCAGGGCCTCTGTGGAAGTTCTCAGTCCTCCCTTCCTTTTTCACTGCCCCTCCCCACCTGTCTGAAAGCACGCCGCCGCTTCGAACGCCGCTTCGGGTAGAGGCCGCGCGGGAAGCCTCCGGGGGTGGCCTTGAGTGTGGACGGAGCTTCCTCCTGTCCGCTGTCCGTGGTGGCCTCTCACCGCAGCACCCTGCTCTCTGCAGGACTCAGCGGGGAAGCTGAAGTGTGCGCACATGGCACGTCCAACCTCATGCTTTCCAGAGCGCAGCGGCCGTCCTGTTAGCACAAAGCAAGACGCAAGCTTCTGTGTCAAGTGCCCAGTGCTGCGTGTGCTGGTGTACCATAGTGGACAGCGAGGTGTAGAGCATTTCCCCAGCCACAGGAAGTCCTGGTGGGCAGAGCTGGTGCAGACAAGCACGTCAATACGGGCGTCAGGTCAACCTCAGAGCTGGCTCCCAGCCCACGTGCATGCTGCCAATCCCCTCCAAGATCCCCATTCCCAGCATCTCCTATGGAGATGGACTGGCTTGAGTTTGCTTCTCCAGACCCTCCTGTCTGAGTCTCTCTGTGCTGTTCTTGCCCCTATTGGTCTGAGAACTGGCTCAGCCCTGTTCCCCAGACCCAGGGGTGCTGCTAGGCTAGGTCTGAGCTAAGAGTGCGTGCACTCTGGAAGGTCCTGTGGTGCCCGTTTTCATGCCTGACCTGAAGACAAGGCTTGGGGGCTACACTGGAGGCTCCTGAGGGCAGATGCCAGGAAAGGAAGTGTTGGGAGCCCTGGATGGGTCATCCACGCAGAGCCCCTGTCCACTACGTTTGTGGCCTTGGCCTTTGGGGGACAATTCTGACTTAACCACATCTGCTTTGTCTGGTCAGCCCTTGTGTATCAGTGCTGGGAGGAGGAAGAGAGGGTGGAAGAATTTCACAGCTAGGATGGGGTGCTGGGGTCAGGCGCAGGGCGTGTGGTCTTGGAGTGGCATGAGGGATGCAGCATGGGCAGATAGCAGCGTCTTCTGATGGGGAGTCCACGGCGGGGTGGGGGGCTGGGAGGCCTCCTCACTCACGGGATTCTGACACACACAGCCCCTCCCTCTGCCTGGAAGTCACTCCTATGTGTCCTTTCCCCCAAGGGACACAGCGGAGCCTGCCGACGCTGGTGGCTGTGGCCTGACACTGGTTAGCAAGCCTGAGGACCGTGCTGGGCCAGTGGCCCCTGTCACTTCTGTCGCGCTGGCCTCCTGTGTGGGCTAGGAGATGCCTTAGGCACATTAACTGTTATAGATCACTTTTTTGTTTTTATGTCGGTCGTGGGGCTTGAACTCTGGGCCTGGGCGCTGTCCCTCAGCTCTTCAGCTCAAGGCGAGCGCTCTACTGCTTGAGCCACAGCGCCACTTCTGGTTTTCTAGTGGTTTATTAGAGATCAGAGTCTCATGGACTTTCCTATCCGGGCTGGCTTTGAACTGTGATCCTCAGATCTCAGCCTCCTGGGTAGCTAGGATGACAGGCGTGAGCCACCGGCACTGGCCTAGAGATAACTTTTAAGACATGGCTTTACTTTACCTGTGTTTTGCCTGAGAGCTTAAACCACCTTGAGCCGGCCCTCCCATTGCGCTCTCCTACCCCTCTGGCCATGTTCAAGACTAGATCCTGGAGGCTGGCCAGGTGGTATCTCGGGAGCAGAGGCCCCTGGCTGGCATCTTCTCTGAACACCCTACTTTAGAGGGGAGCACTGGGAACACTAGGCACATGAGCTGTGAGGAGGGGAGAAGAGCAGGAATAGGTGGAGGAGACAGACTGTGATGCAGATCTAACGGAGGGAGGGGTGGGAGGCTGGGCAGGCAGAGCCTGAGGGAATACATTTGGTTGCTTTAAGCCAGCAAAACTGCGGTTATCTGTCATAGCACCAACAGGAAACTAACGCCAACTCTCATGGAGATGTTCTTCATTTTGCACTCACTTCACGTCTTGAACTAAAATGCTTCAAAGAAACCACCATCTCACGGGTCTGCAGAATTCCACAGCACAAACATACTTAGCAGCAGGATGTGTGCAAGGTGAAGGGGCAGGCAGAGGTCAGCGCCTCCTGTGGAAGAGAATGCAGAGGAGGGTCATTGTGGTACACGTTGCTCAGCTTAATTATAACCTCGGCATTCACATGTGGGCACCAGGGGTATCTCAGGGCTGAAGCAAGTGTCCCGTTGCTCAAGGTCACAAAGCTGGGTGGTGTGGGCAGTGTGTTCAAGCTGAGAATCCACACAGGAGGCTGCTGCGCTTGTGATTCCATCCTCCGGTGCAACAGAATAGCTCCGAATGCCAGGTCAGCAGTCTTAGTGATGAGCACATTTAGAGCCGACCAAGACTTTATCATTCCACAAAAGAATCAGATTGTGCTGGTGGCATGTAACGCTGCAAATCTAAGGTGGTTCCAAAGCCTGGACTCCTGACACCTGCACCTTTTTGAGGTGCTTTTTCTGTACATACGGAGGAAGAGGAGATGGAAGGGAAAGATGGAGGAGAAGGGGATGGAGGGGAAAGATGGCAGAAGAGAAGATGGAAGGGAAAGATGGAGGAGGAGGGGATGGAGGGGAAAGATGGCAGAAGAGAAGATGGAAGGGAAAGATGGAGGAGGGGCTTCTAAGGGAAGTACTAAATGCTCTTGGCAAGAGGAAGAGGAGCATTGTGGAGGGTGGTGGAGAGAGGCAGGGGGTGAAAAGTGCAGGTTCAGGGCACCTGACCGCAGCAGGGAAAGGCTGGCAAACCTGCAGCGTTTGGAGGGGGTTTGGTTGCTGTTTTCCAAGACGGAAAGGCCTAGAGAGGTTTCAGAGCAGAGCATACGAAGCCCAAATGAGGAAAGAAGTTGCGCTAGTGAGACGGAGCTGCTGGAGCCAGGGCCCGGCAATGGGGGCGAGGGTGGACTTGAGACGGAGCTGCTGGAGCCAGGGCCCGGCAATGGGGGCGAGGGTGGACTGAGACGGAGCTGCTGGAGCCAAGGCCAGCAATGGGGGCGAGGGTGGACTTGAGACGGAGCTGCTGGAGCCGGGGCCAGCAATGGGGGCGAGGGTGGACTTGAGACGGAGCTGCTGGAGCCGGGGCCAGCAATGGGGGCGAGGGTGGACTTGAGACGGAGCTGCTGGAGCCAGGGCCAGCAATGGGGGCGAGGGTGGACTTGACACGGAGCTGCTGGAGCCAGGGCCAGCAATGGGGGCGAGGGTGGACTTGAGATGGAGCTGCTGGAGCCAGGGCCAGCAATGGGGGCGAGGGTGGACTTGAGATGGAGCTGCTGGAGCCAGGGCCCGGCAATGGGGGCGAGGGTGGACTTGGGCTCCGTAGTGAGGGACAGTGTCCTCTCCTCAAGCAGGAGGGGGAGGTCAGCCTCTACAAGGTCCCACACAGGTACCTATGGTGGTCATGGCAGTGGTCGCGGGAGCTCTAACCTGACTCTTCCAGGGCGAAGTCTGTAGCCATGTGTGCTACCTGAGGTGAGGGGCAGGACACAGGTGTGCCCTCTGAAGGAGGGGCTTTGAAGACAGGGCTGGAAGGTGGTCTGGGATTAAGGCCCTGTGGGCCCTTCTCTCTGGCTCTGCTCTCTCTGGCTCTGCTTCTCACCTGCCTGGGCAACAGTCTTCCAGGGCCTCTGAGGAGAGACCAGCCCTGAGGTTGCTCAGCACCTCTGCCACACCCTGTGGCCAGGCTAACTGCATGGAGGATGGGAACTGTAGCTTCTCTGGGATGCCCGGCTAACACAAGGGCGCAGAAAAGGGGCAGATACCAGGGGACCGTTCGCTGAGTCTGCAATGGGCTGTGCTGGGCAGCTGACTTTGCCGGCTTTATTCGTCCATTGAATGGAAGCAGCAGGTCCCAGGCATGTGGCCTGGCTGTGGGGCACGCGGAGGGGCCCAGCATTTCCCACCTGCCTCCTCTGTCTAGGGAAGCCTCTGTACCTGCACATCGGGGAGGAGATAGATGGCGTAGACATGCGGGCCGAGGTCGGGCTCCTCAGCCGGAACATCGTGGTGATGGGGGAGGTAGAGGACAAGTGCTACCCCTACAACAGCCATGTCTGCAGCTTCTTCGACTTCGATACCTTCGGGGGTCACATCAAGGTACGGGCTGCCTGGCTGGGGCCGTTAACTCAGCCGCGAGACTCCCCAAGGCGGCAGTCGGCGGGCAGCGGCCCCTCCCCCTGCATACAATGGGCACAGTAAGGTCTCGGGTGTCTCCCTCACTGCAACAAGGGCCAGGCCTCACACCAGGTGCACAGAGCACCTTCAATGTAAGGAGAACCCGGGTGGGCGTGACAAAACTGTGAGAACAACATCTGTGCACTCGGCCCCTCCGGGGCAGGAGGCCCCGTGGGGTCCCTCTGACTCTGACTCTCCTCCCCCAGTTTGCCCTGGGCTTTAAGGCTGCACATCTTGAGGGTGTGGAGCTCAAGCACATGGGGCAGCAGCTGGTGGGCCAGTACCCAATTCACTTCCACCTGGCTGGAGACGTGGACGAGAAAGGAGGCTACCACCCACCCACGTACATCAAGGACCTCTCCATCCACCACACATTCTCCCGCTGCGTCACCGTCCACGGCTCTAATGGCCTGTTGGTGAGTACCTGCTGGGAGGCTGTCTTATCTAGACAGGCCAGGGCCGAGGATTGAACCATCCTTGGCTCGGCTGTAACGGTTATCAAAAGTGCAGGTCACCATGCAAACTGGCAGAACGTAGGAGCGTGCCGAGCTACGGAGGTAGGAAGTGACCCCCAGCTAAGGCTGCTCATCGGGATGATGCCCCACACGGCAGATTTGTTGGCTTAGACGAGGTGTTGTGCTAAGATGGTAGCCATGGCACCTATCGGGCAGACTTGAGGTGGAGGTGGCTGTGGTCCCTGTGCTGCAGCAAGAATCCCTTCAAAGCAGACCCTGCAGAAAGAAATGCTTCCCCAGCAACTAGAGTATGTGCCAGAGGCTCACCTTAAGTCTTCACAGACAATTTTTACACGAAACTCCTTCTCTAAATGACCTAAACCTAATTCCTCTGTACACTTTAAGGCTAGTGTCTGGCTTGAAAGGTTTGCCAATGGCTGGCTGTTTGGGAAGATGGCTTTTACGTGACAAAGATATCGTTCTCATTTAGAAGAACCTGCTTGGTAGCTCATGGGTGTCTTCTCCATGGTCCTAAGGCAGGCTGGATCCCAGGTGGGACTGGACTAGCTGAACTGGGAAGGAGGGCTGAGTGGTAAATGCCTGCCCAAAGGGGTCCTGCAGCCCGGAGCCGCCGTGTGTGCTCTAGTGGCCTCTTCTCTGGATTGGGTGCTAGGTTAGAGAGCCCTGCACAAACTGACCATCAGAGGGGCGGAGAGCCTTCTTCCCTCACAAGACCCCCCTGCCAAGGGCAGGCTCCTCCTGGGAGGCTCCCTGGCCTCTGAGTTGGGTATGACTTAGTATTTGCTGGGTGAATGCGTGAGCACGTGAGATGTCGGGTGGCGAGTGAGAGGCTCCTGTCTGGACACGTAGATCAAGGATGTTGTGGGGTACAACTCCCTGGGGCACTGCTTCTTCACGGAGGACGGACCAGAGGAGCGCAACACCTTCGACCACTGCCTGGGCCTCCTCGTGAAGTCCGGAACGCTCCTCCCCTCCGACCGGGACAGCAGGATGTGCAGGGCGATCACAGACGACTCCTACCCGGGGTATGTCCCCAAGCCCCGGCAGGACTGCAAGTAAGTGCCACCACGTCCATGCCCTGGGGGCGGGAGCCACGCACGCTCTTCCCGGCCTGTGCGCTCCAGCCTGGGGCACCCGCGCCTGGGTGTGAGCCCGGTGCTCTCCATCTCAGCCCGTGCTCCCTGGGTGTGAGCCCAGTGCTCCCCTCCCGGCCCATGCTCCCCAGGCGTGAGCCCAGTGCTCCCCTCCCGGCTCGTGCTCCCCAGGCGTGAGCCCAGTGCTCCCTCCCAGCCTAGTGCTCCCCAGGCGTGAGCCCAGTGCTCCCCATCTCAGCCTGTGCTCCCTGGGTGTGAGCCTAGTGCTCCCCTCCCAGCCCAGTGCTCCCCAGGCATGAGCCCAGTGCTCCCCTCCCAGCCCAGTGCTCCCCAGGCGTGAGCCCAGAGCTCCCTCCCAGCCCAGTGCTCCCCAGGCGTGAGCCCAGTGCTCCCCATCTCAGCCTGTGCTCCCTGGGTGTGAGCCCAGTGCTCCCCTCCCAGCCCAGTGCTCCCCAGGCGTGAGCCCAGTGCTCCCCTCCCGGCCCGTGCTCCCCTCCCGGCCCGTGCTCCCCAGGCGTGAGCCCAGTGCTCCCCTCCCGGCCCGTGCTCCCCAGGCGTGAGCCCAGTGCTCCCCATCTCAGCCCGTGCTCCCCAGGTGTGAGCCCAGAGCTCCCTCCCAGCCCAGTGCTCCCCAGGCGTGAGCCCAGTGCTCCCCATCTCAGCCTGTGCTCCCTGGGCATGAGCCCAGTGCTCCCTCCCAGCCCGTGCCCCCTGGGCGTGAGCCGAGTGCTCCCCTCCCGGCCCG